ATTATAACGCCCCCGCGGCTGAAAGGGCGAGCATGTTTGGTGTGACGAGTCGAGCGCCCTAACCACCTGGCCACCACCCACCGTCAACTCTTGGGCTACTGTTTAACCAACGAATAGTGGGATTGACCGTCACATTATAACGCCCCCGCGGCTGAAAGGGCGAGCATGTTTGGTGTGACGGGTCGAGCGCCCCTAACCACCTGGCCATGCCGGGCCCAAATTAAAATAATTCGAGTTAGTAAAGTTATTGAATTTTGCAATATTCTCGCATATACTCGCAGGTGTAGCGAGAGTTTCCACCTGGAATTCTTTCCTTGAAAAAATTTTGTATATTTTTTTTTGTAATTTATAATTTTTATTTATTTATAATGATATTAATGCATGCGGTATGAATAGTAATTACGTGTTTTAAACATGGCCTACTGGAAATTCAATATCCTTTTTTTTTACAGGGTTGTAACAGTTATTTCTGTTTAAAGCTGAATTTATTTTCTTAGAACAATATTTGGATGACATTCAGGGTTTTCGACAACCAACCTGTTTGTGATTCGGAAAGGAATTAAAAAAAAATCTTCGTGATAAGAGGAGCGTCTTTTACCAAGAAATTTCCAGCACATTCCTATGACGTAATAAGAGTAGTAGTCAAGCGTGAGACGGCTGTAAAACTTGGCAAGGCCTCGTGCCGACGTGTGTTCTGTAGGACACATATTGACAATTCTCAAGGCAGACGAAGGCCAACGGGTTTAATATTAACGTTAGAGGATGTATCATGTCGTACGATAGGATTCACATCCAGAGTAACAGAACAAAACAAACGGACAGGAAATGAATCAATATGTACGTAGGGTGCGCGGGAATAACTGGAATCCACGATCTGTGTCCACACGAGATTGTTGTGTTATGTTTCTGGAATGACACCAAAGTTTATATATATAAAAAAAAAAGAAAAAAAAGTCTGGTAAACCAATCGTGTTTTATCACTGGTATTGTATAGCTTCAGAGAGAGATTTATATTTGTTTTATTGGCTCAACGTTCCAGCTTTAAGCCTTCCAGAACAATTTGAAATTTCTCAGGAGCCACATGTCATTTGAGTTTTTAACAAGTACACTATATTTTAGTCAGGATGGCGTAAAACAAACCAAAAAAAAAAACTTTAGAAGTGCCAGTTATGTTTGTTTTTACTATCACAGTTCAATTACTCGTGTAGATATTGTTTGTTTGCTGTTAAGCACGAAGCTATCTGTGCTGTGCCCACCACGGGTATCGAAACCCGGTTTCTAGCGTTATAAGCCTTTAGACTCGTCACTGCGCCATTTGGGACACTGGTGTAGAAATTGTTTGTTTTAGAGCAAAACCACATTGGGCTATCTGCTGTGTCCACTGAGAGGAATCTAACCCAGTATTTTAGAGTTGTAAGTCCGTATATTTAGCGCTGACGTATAGAAAGAGAATCCATAATGGAAACAATGAATTTTTGTATATGTGTGATCACTGGTTTGAACCGAGGAGTAGGTGAGCGTTCATTAACCTTCACACATACACACAATATAAATGTGATATGTATCTATAAAAGTTACAACACGGTATTATAGGTACGTTATCTTTTAACGTTTTAGCATGAAAGAACAGTCTACCTTGTGGCAAGGGTGGTGGGGGTGCAGGTAACCTTCGAGGAATTTCGTATGTCCACTCTTCCGTACGTTTTTGTCTCAGGTTTTCTAACTCGTTCAGAGGTGCTAGATAGGTTGGCCTCTGACCCAGTGTCGAGGCGAATGTCCGAAGTTGTTGTTGTTGTCCTGGAAACATAAAAAAAAGCCACGTTTATTTGTATACCAAACAATACAGAGAAAAGACTGCTGTTACAATAGTAGTTTGTGAAAAGACTGCTGTTACAATAATAGTTTGTGAAAAGACTGCTGTTACAACAATAGTTTGTTCTTTTCACAAACTATTGTTGTAACAGCAGTCTTTTACTGCTGGACCCCCCCCTCTCCCAAAAAAAAAACGAGTTTTTTCAGCATTTTGTTAACAGTCTCTTTGTTTCCTGTTTATGTTTAATTTGTTAATGTTTATACGCTGGTAAGAAGTGATTAACAATCAAGTAGCATTATGGGTAAACATAATAACAGGATGGATCTTCATATTCATCCGCCAGAGAGCGACGGGAGGGTGCTAAAATTTCTTGGACACTTCTCCAGATCAATGTAATGATAATGTGGGGATGAGGGGGGTTGACACCACTTCTTTACAAATTAAAAGAAGAAATACAGAAAAAAATACATGTATATGATTTTTACAACATAAAAAAAAATGTTCCCCACTTTGAATAATTACTGTTGTCCCTTTTCCTGGATACATTACCCCCCGGCGTGCTCCCCAGTGGCACAGCGGTATGTCTGCGTACTTATACCGCTAAAACTGGGCTTCGATACCCGTGGTGGGCAGAGCACAGATAGCCCTTTGTGTAGCTTTATGGTTAGTAATGAACGCCAACACCACCGGCGCATATTTAATGGACCCCCTAGTTGATTGAGCAGCCCCAAAATTTATTGATGACAGTTTTGCTGGGCGCTCTGAAGTTGTGAGAAAAGTACATTCAGCTTTCCCGATCATTTGAAAAAGGTGGCGCTAATGTAGCGTACTCTTAGTACCTTAACACTCCCGAGAGCCCGAATATATATATAAGTTAATATTTCTCTGTATCGTTTCTTTTCTTCTTATAATTGTTAACAGAATTCAGAAATTGTTAGCCAAGAGAATAACTAAAAACATAAATCTGTAAACACGTTTTACCGGTATAAATAATAGCTACTAAAGACAAGGAATAAACATAAAAGCATTGTCCAATGAATTGATTTGTACGTTCATGGTTTTTACTTATTTTTTTCGTTTTGGACAGCATTTTTATGCAAGTACGTTCGCTGATCTTTTTATTGGCTGGGCGTGGCCTAGTGATTAGCGTGCCGGGCGGTGATTCCAAACGTCTATGGATTGCGACTCGTTGAGGCATTTTTGGGGGCCGTGGGTGTGCTATAGGAGTGACAGTTTAATCCCAATATTCAATTAGAGTACCTTAAAGGGTGCTATTGATCAGCTACTTCCCTCCCCTCACTTCTCTCTCTCTCTCTCTCAAGTCAATGAGTTCAAATATAGGGACGGCTAGCGCAGATACAGGAATGTAAAAAAACAAACAAAAAAACTGACTCGTTTGGAACAAGACACATTCTTTCTTGGCCCTTGTCAAGTTCTGCGTCACGGTATAGTTTCCAGAGCTTCATGACGTTCCATCAAAAACGTTACATCAAGTGAGTTTGATGCTAAGTGATTCACTATTTCCGGATTCCTCTTTTTTTTCTTCTCTCTCTCTCTCTCTTTCAACTCTTGATTGAGCTCGTTTCCGCTCTCCTTGAATAGACACTACAATAGGTTAATTTCAAAGTCGCCTTCCCGCGGGCTACTAACTGTTTATGGGCCTTCTAATCAGGGCCTAAATCACCGAGTACAAATTCTTATCCAGTGTGTCACGCACATATATAGCCCATTCTCAGAGGGTGACCAACATTGACTAACCACGAGGGTGATTACAAAATCTACCAAATGACCTAAAAGTTTGGCGTCGACAGTCTGTTGTCGTGTTGGCTTCTCAAAGTCATTAAAATGTAACCGATTCATTCATTTGTTAGAGACGTAAATTTTTGTTTGGTTAACCGTGTTTCTTCATTGTTGAAAAACAGAGGCATATCACTAAGTTTGGACCAAACCAGACCCAGACAAAAAGAAGGGACAAATATTTATAGAAAGTAAAAAAAAAAAAAAAAAAAAAAAAAAAATTTTAAGTAGCGTCGTTTGGGCTTATAAAGGATTACCTCCTCAGCGGAAAGCTTAACGGCTTATAGCGCTAAAATCAAGTGTTCGGTCCCCGTGGAAGACGTAGAGTATATATAGACCATTGTTTAAATTTATTACGATCTCTTATTCTTGAACGCAAATAAATTGCAGTTAATATCTGACTTAGCAAAATGAGTTTAGAAAGTTATTCCTGTTGCTCTGTTATTTCCCCCGTGGTGAAACCAGTTTAAAAACAACAACTAAAGTCTGGTTTCAGAATGCTAGTGCGAAAGAACCGACAACCGGTTCTTACAGGAAATAGAGAATAAAATAATGATATTAAAAAGAAAATTAGTTTGAAGATATTTGTAGACTTTCCACAACGTCTTATTTTAGTGTTGTAAAGGGCTGCACTGATTATTTTATTTCCTTTTTTTATATTCTTCCGGATATTACTCACTCCTGATTTCGAAACCCCATCTTTATGACGTGTACAGTTCTGAAGATTCGGGAGTGATACTGTAGTGGTAACAACGTTAAATATCCCGCCTCAGTCGGTCATGATCCATTAGTGCGTGAAACGTGCCACTAGATGGCAGGACCAAGTGACGTCATATGACAGCAAGTCTTTTAGAATACTCCTTACGATTTGTTCGTGTTAACTGAACAGAGAGGTTACACGATGCTGTCGGCGTTTTAAAATTTAACATTTAAATCACGTTTTCACTGAGAGTGAATAAATAGCTATTTCACAATATACTTCATACTACTAATCTCCGCTGAACATTTATCTTCAAGTAACTTAAAACTTTGACGACTTCTCGTGTTGTAATTTTGTTGTTGTTTATTGATTGAAAAGCTGGAACATTTAAACTTTTATCTTAGGTAAAATAAAGGTACAACATTTACTATATATATATATATATATATATATATACACTATTACGTTAGGTAAGTAAGTAAAGGTAACTAATATTTACTATATATATA